GAGTCGAGAATGGTACAACCAGGGACTTGGGAGAACAAATCGTCTTCCTTCTCTAGTAACAATTAATGAAGGGTCAAAGCTTCCGCGCTTCGCGTGTAATGGAGGGGGGGGGACAGCGAGCTGCCCGAATATGAGTTTTTGATATCTTTTCTCGTTTATTTTGGTGATAAATAGCACTTTCACAAATTATTGTTGCTCGCTCGCTTCGCTCACTATTTCGAATTGTGAAACCAGAAAATTACTTTCCGGGCAAGAGATATAGCCCCCCCCCCCCCCCCGATGAAAATGTCAAAAATTCTACCCGTATCGTGCTTCTAATATGACCTTGTCAGTATTGGTATGTTGAGTTGAAAAAATGGTCTGCGCAATTTTCAAATTTCCGGCCCCCCCCCCCCCCCCTATTGGAAAATCCTGGATCCGCGCCTGTGATGCATCAATATTAGATCACTGATTATAATATACATGTACATCATCATCTGTTATCTTATTATAGAAAAACATATGAACATATGACTCTTGTATCACTATTTGTTAACATCAATCCAATTAAATGAATCCAACTGTTTATTCCTTAAAACAAACAATCAACATAACTTGGCCATTCTGACTGACTCACCCAACTAAGGTTTAAACTGAACAACAACCACTGTTAGACATAGTCTCACACCTTGCCATTCTATACAGTCACTCTTCTGGAACTATGTGAACTCTTTGAAACAAAATACAATTATCCTTATTGTTTGCAGGTACTAATTTCGGCAATATATCTGTAACTACAATGAACAACAACTAAAATGTATTGTGTGTTTCCACAGAAACACAAGTCTTTAAAGTCGTTTCAGATAAAATACTCAATTATTACAATGTATCCTGAACTTAAATAACTGATAATGTGATTATTATGAAGAACCATCATGTAGTGTATAGTTGGTAAGTGACATAATCGATATTCCGGATATACTTCTCTTATAACTACGACTACTATAGGATACATCTTCCCCTATAATTTAATCACAGAACGACAATTTGCATCTTCAACAAGGGTAAATAATGAATCCACAATGGAAAGAATAATAATGTGACTACTAGCGATGACTCATACTCCTAGTATCGTGAGTAACAATACAAAATAATTAAATACTACATGGGTCTATTGACATTCATGTACAGATGATAATTAGCTACTTAAGCTTTTGCTTACATAAAACAAAACTACCAATTATAACCTTTGTCTTTTAACAACATATTCACATAAAAGACTAACTCATACCTGGAGTATCCTCGGCTGTGATCCAGCTCAACTACTCAATAATTAAGGTGCTGCTAACTGCTAGTGAACACAGGTCTCTAATACTGCAGACCCCCTAGAGATTTAAGACATACATATCAATCATTTAGTATGGTCATTTGGCCAATGCTACCTGCACTAATGCATCCTCTACTATATAACCCAACCCAAAACATATCTCTATTGATGATATTATTGTATTACATAGTTGTAAATATCAAAACCATATAATTTGATGTATACTCATGAACTGGTTCTGACCAAGTAAGGTCTGACACCTAGACTAGTCACCATCCACTAAATAAACAACGAAAAAAAAAACATGCCGAGCAACATTCAACAATGTGCTTCACTGTGCACCCTGTAGGCTATTACTAAATCACTTTATAACATCTCACACTCAATTACATGTACTATAATCACTTAATATTATGACAAATACCTCTCATATTGTTACATAATTCCTTTAATTATTCTACTGCTATATACATCTCATTAAACATAACTCAATTGTCTATTTAAAGAGTAAAACTTTTTATACATGCGTGAGCAAACTCACACTCACGGAGCAAAACCCATTGTCTGTGTGCAGCAAGTGTGCGCTAGTCGAACTATACATTATCACCGTTAGCCACTCAGGCCCGAATTCACAAAGGAGGTTTGTCGACAAACCGAGGTTTATGTACGTCATATGACGCGTTTTGACGCGTTTTTTTACAAACCTGGTTTGTAAAAAAACAAAAGGAGGTTTGTCGACAAACCTCTTTTGTGAATTCGGGTCACAAAGTGTAGAAAACTTTCAATCTTCATACATTTATATAATACACTCATGGCTATAGGAACTTCCCAATTTCAAAGTTAATACCTAAAGATAAACTCCAGTTCTGGTAAAAAAAAAAAAAAAAAAAAATTAATTCTCACAGAATCAAACGAAACTTACACTGAATGTTCAAGATTACAAATAAATGACATGCGCCAAACAATTTTGAAACAAAATGTTTACTGGCTGAGCAATGAGCATAGAAAGACAAGGAAATCAAGGTAGTACTAGCCCCGACACCATGTGTGTTGTCCCATATACAGCTTTCTGTGTACAGTGCTTGTTACTTTACCAAGACTCGGTCAAATTTATTTTGATTTTGATGACTCCAGAACCTTGCAGTGCACACCAATACATACATGCTACATGATCAACTGTTTCTGATCCTTTCCACACCTTTTCTTTCACAATGCAATCGCATTAATACCAGAACTAAAGTTTATCTTTAATCACATGTGATTTTAATTGTACATACCTCGAAACTACAGTAGATTCACTACAATTCTCTCTTAAACTCGGAACCTCCTGACCTTCCTCTTACTGACACCTTCAGCATTATCATCTCTCATTATCCACCCTCTCTCTTGACCAAGGTCTTACATATTCATCCACTTCTCGTCTTACAAACTATAATGTACATAGAATTTACCTGAAAATAAAATTTTTCCAACATACAATTAAAACATATTCGGCGTCTGATTCATGATATAAAAAGTAAACAAGTATTAAAATTGGAGAAAACTACATGAACTCAGTGAATGTATCCTAGTCCCAACAAGACCTTTTTAGTGATGCGGTCCCTGACTACATGTTTAAAACTTTCACACGTATGGTATCTCTAAATACTTTGGTTAACAATCAAATAAGGAAATTTCTACATTACCACATAAATAAAAAGGACAAAGCAGTAGATAAATGTGTGTAGTAAATATGTTATATTACTGAATTGTTATTTTAATCTTGCAGAAGAATAATAAATTCAATTCAATTCAATTACACTCAAATGAATATTAAAGATCACAATGCAAGTTATATTTATTTCTCTTATCAGTTCATTTAAATCTCGGGGATGTGGAGTAGTACCACTATCGTATCAGAATATTTGACACATCTTCTGAGCGACAGTGGGTTACTCTTGAATCACAAACTGCGAACCTTTTCATCTTGGTCATTTAATTAGATGATAATTCGTGACAAATTGACGACATATTTTTATCATTGATATGTTTAAACATAGCAGTAAATTTGATTGACGATATTTCCGATTTGATGGCTGATAGCGCACACGTTTGAAAGCTGACCATACTGCTGTCTTCGTTTATTCTCGTCACAATATTTCGTTCACCGCGAGACGCGATAAATGATCATAGGATTTCGTTAAAAAAGGCGAGCGATCGGTACTTCGTCATTTTCTGGGTGTATCGGCATGTTTTCACAAATGTACATTTAGAGTGACATCTAATAAAAGAATCATCTTTGGAATCGTTTTGATTATTTGCTCTCAATTTACCAGACCTTTCGTGAATATAGGGGTATGTTTTAACGAAAGTGAACCTAACGACCAAATCCGACGCGGAGATCTGATGGATCAAAGTGAGCTCGAATTTCTAGCTTCAACCGTAGACCCATTACTATACCTGATCCCAAACCTTAACCTTCCTTAAAACGAGACCGGCTGTGGCGGTCTCGTGGGCTGTCATTCTCCTTTGAGATAAGACTCCGGAGCTTTAATAGCATAATGTTGTATATACTTTTTGAAAGGAAAAACATGTGTGACAGCGATAGCCATAATAATGAAGAAAAGGGGAAATACAATTGCTTTTTTTGTACTCGTTATATTGACATGTATTTTTCGACAATACAATTTCGATTTTTTTTTTTTTTTTGGCAAACATATATATTTCCGTTTGATCTAGACTTTCTTATCTAATCATTGGTCATGAACATAATTAGGTCCAATAACATAGCATCTATAATGTCCCTTATACCATTATTATATATCTATGATTTGTTTAAAATATTTTTTTTAAGGATATGGAGTAATACATCATGCTTAACATGTGTAATGATACTTTAATTGGAAGGTATCAACACTGACATTGAAGGCTTGTTCAGATATGCCGCGGTGAACCACTGGAAACGAAATACGATTAAATTTAAATTTAAATTAATTAAACTGTGTGCCACGAAGATCCTGCGCGTATTGACCGAGCTCTAGCTGTGTCAGATACAGCAACGTGAAGTGCATTACTCTACGTCATCATTAACGTGGTTAAAATTCTGCCGCGGTTTTGCCGCGTTTTGTGCATGTGAACGAGGCTTAAAATGAATTTCTTTGAATTGCTCGAGGAATCGAATAACCGAACAATTTCATATCCGAACTCAACAGCTTTTCAAGCTTCTTCATTTGAAGATCCGACAGTGTTTCATAATACCTCCGCAAGACGCCATCCTCAGAACTATTGGTCGCATGTGGCGCTTTCACAAGTGGCACTTTCGAAGTGGCATCAAATATCTGAACGGTTTGCTTAAAATCGTCTGCGTACGTTTCGACGTTGCCGATATAATCGTAATCGAAACATGGTGGGCAGACTTTGTATTATTCTCGCCAGTGCACGTCCTGAGTTTTTTTTACACTCAGGTAAAAGTCCACGAATTCTTTGAAAGTGACGTTGTATTTCTCGCTTGGCATCGACCGATCCGGCATCTCTGCGGGAGAATGGTTCCCGAACTTCAAATAGATATTTTTGTTAAACCATTTACGATGTGACAGATTCCGATTGGGGTACTTCTCCAGTCTGTCACGGAAAGCGGACAGAAGACGGGAATACGGATTGCGCACGAAGATCGCCGACGAGTAATTCCGTAATATACCAAGCCTCTTATCAGGTTTATACTGGCCTAGCACGCGGAGATGCTTCTTGGCTGCATGTACTATTTCTTGCGGCGCCAAGCCATTCGTCGAGTTGATCGCGCCCTCTAGTATCATTAGAGTTCTCACCCAGTTCATGCTGGTTGCTTTCGGAATGAGACAGATGATGGTTCGGTATCTTTCGGAGACGTAGATATTCCGAAGGTAGCTCGGATTTGTAATTATTTTGTTCAGCTTGTAGGTTTCTTTGTCACTGAAGCCGAGGGAGGAACAACCATGACGTTGGGTGTGTCGACGCAAAGCCTGTAGCGGTCCACAAGTCCGTGTTGTATACGACATGGAAAAGATACAAGAAAAAAAGAACACATTAGAATTGAGAAAGCATTATGGACGGGGAAATGAGAGTAGGGTAGACAGAGATAGAGAGAGAGAGAGAGCGAGAGAGAGGGAGAGATTATGTGTGTACGAGTGTGTGTATGTGTGTGTGTGCGTTAGTGTGATAGAGAGAAAGAGAGATAGAGAGAGAGAGAGAGAGAGAGCGAGAGACAAACAAGAGAGAGAAGGGGAATGGGGGAGGGAGGTGGGGGGGGGGGTGGAGGAATTAAAATATTTATATAGAGAGAGAAAAAGAGGGGCAAAAGAGTAAGACAGGGAGCGGTGATGGGAGAGAAAGAGAGAATGCGTGCGTGTGTGCAGTATACATGTTTGTGGGAGAAAGAGAAAGAGAGGGAAATAAAGAATGAGAAGGAAAGAATTCCCAACTTTGAGAGAATACACACGACTAGGTACATTGCTTCTTTATAATCCTTCATTCTTACTTTCAGATTGTTGGCGCGATCAGTCTTAATAATGTAGATCTAGCTTCAATTCGATCTAGATTCACGTGAAAGAACATATAAGAGCCGTGATGTTTATTACGGGAAGAAATTAAAGACTAGGAAGTGATGACCTTATGATAAATACTTCACGCATCTTAAATTCCACCACTAATGAAAATAGAAAGGAAAAAACGTCATCTTGGTGCCCACAGTGTGATGATTAAATGTTGTTATAATTCTCGTGGACTGCAGCACCCTATCCCCCTCACCCATTTGCCCCGGCTTGACCTATCTTTGGGTGGCCTTGTCATAATTCTAAGCAGTAGCGTACGCCAGATTTTTTCGAGGAGGGGCTTTTAAAATTTGAAAATCGCGCCGAAAATTTCGAAGGACTCAGCCAGCCGCTGAATAAGGGAGGGGGAATTGGAAAATTATGCCTACCGATATTTCGTTTTGTAGGGGGGGGGGGGGGGGGGGGGTTAAGCTCAGTTTTTTTTGTCACCCTTTAGCACCCACAACAAAATGTATTCATTTTTTTTTTGAAGGGGGGGGGGGGGTTCTAAAAAACACATACATAACAAAAATTGAGGGGGGGGGGGTTCAACTCCCAAAACACCCCACCCCTGCGTACGCGCCTGCTCCTGAGCATTCTTATACCTGGGTTGCCGGACAGTTCTGCAGAAAGTGATCGTTGGACCGTTGTGACATTGTGATTCTTGGTTGTAAAACTCGATCTGTACATGGTTAAAGAAAATAAATACGTGTTTTTTTAAAATCACTTTTTACATCTAGACAATATGAGAAATCTCGCACAATCCCTAAATGATTTAGACACTCTAATTACAATTTTGGTCTATGAGCTACACCAAAACTCTAATGTTAATTTCGCGTGTAGAATGGCGGAGGAATGCAAGGCAACATATCCACATTTGTTATTACTAATTTTCTAAATAATCCCATTACTTTGGCAGAAAGTTTAATCCTTCATTCAGCTGTTCAAAGTATTTTGATCACTAATGAAAAATCCCCCTCGTTTTAATTATTATTTGTAAAATGAGGGTGACGAAGGATTATCCAAATTGAATTTGTTATTATTATATATAGATATATATATATATATATATATATATATATATATATATATATATATATATATATGATGACATAGGAAACAAAATAAAAATAATCTAAACGATGTAGCCAAGCTATGTAAAAGTTCAAAACAGGGGAATAATAAAGCAGCTACAGAAAGAGGAAAATGTACTCTATCTCGCAGGTCCGGGTTATTTTATCTGTGCATCACTTAAAGGGATAGTTGAGTTCTGTTTTCAGACCGCAAATGCCTTCAAAGTGCATGGTTAACGCTCTTATTCTTATCTATGACATTTCTAGTGCCCTTTTAGAACCTAAAATTGCTATGAAGGTAACTTTAGACCCCAAAATAATCATACCAATTCAGCTCCACTTTAAAAAAAATACGGTGACCGTTAATTAATTATTTAATTAAAAATGACAATACATGGGCCGGCTGGTTGTGCGTATAGTATAACCAACACGAAAATGCCAATAAAACAGCCAACATCGCCTATGAAAAAACCTCAACAGCGTGGTCCACAGACGGAAGGATTATCGCTCTGTTTGAAGGACAGAAGAAAGTCATAACAACCCTGCTAGGGTTGGTGGTGGCCCTTCATTCTTATAATACATTGCCGTAGTCTAAAAGTGGTAACGTTATCTTCCTAACAGGCGCGTAGACAGGGGGGCGGTGGGGGCGGTCGCCCCCCAAAAAAACGCCGGCCAAAAAAAGAGAGAGAGAGAAAGAGGAGAAAAAAAGTAAGAGGACGTACGAAGAAAGAGGGAAAAAGAGTCGGGAACTGAGGTACAGCGAATCGTCTTTGTCTAATAATACGTCAAAGCTTCCGCGCTTCGCCCAGGAGGAGGAAGGGGGAGGGGGGGGGGACTGAATTCAGACAAGGATTAAGAAGTCGAGAATGGTAATGTACTAAGTCGTCTTCTATCGATGTTCTATCATAACTTAATCACAACTATAATTGAAAAAAAATGAGCGAGGAATGACAAAGTTCTGTTTGTTTAAAGTAGTGCTTGCATTTCCATAATTCTATTAAACGAATTCGTTTTCACTGGCTGCCTGCCGTATCAATAAACGAAATTAACAAAAGACTTAACTCCGTTTCGTTGACAATCAGCCGTAGACGAGAGTCTTCTTGCATGGCTGATTGTCAACGAAACGGAGTTAAGTCTTTTGTCAAATCTGCTTTTTGCTACGGCAGGCACCCAGTGAAAACGAATTCGTTTGTTAAAATTATGAAAATGTTAGGGCTACTTTAAAGAAACAGAACTTTGTTATTCCTCGCTCATTTTTCCTGATTGAGGTGTCATATGAAAGGGCAGAAACTCAACTTTCTAGAAATGTGAATTTTACTTCGAAATTCAGATACCGCCCGCCAAATGTCTTTTTGGTTTCCTTCCTTAAAATTGCTTTTAATCACCCATGCGTGAAATATGCATCATCGGAGTAGCATCAACTGAAAGAGGAGACTCTAAGCTTTCCAAATATGTATCATTCATTAATTATGGTTGTGATTAAGTTATGATAAAACATCGATACTTCTCGGTTTCGTTTTTTCTGGGACGCACTGTATAAGAAAATATGGAAATAATTAAACATAGAACTAAATATTGAGATATGTTCTATCCCAGGATATAACATTATTTTATTTGCCCTTGATACAATAAAGAGGTTGAGATTATGGTTTCAAAAAAGCGATTTATTCGAAACTAACTTTCTTTTAATTGCGCGCTCATCCGTCACTTCGTGGACATAGGGACGTGTTGACTATGTAGTAGGGGCTTCTATTTAGGCCCTGTCTTATGAACAGTTGCGATTAATCGTATTTGCGATTGACATCAATAGCAACTATGCACATACGAGATGAGAGACTGCCAACTTGCGATTGATTGGCGGACTTGCGATCAATTAGAATAAATCGCATTTTTAAAAATTTAAGAGGGGGCCTGATCTACCCTAGTCATACCACTGAGACCGACATCAGACTGGTAACAGCCCGAAAAAAAAGCATTACATTATCCCTAAAGGCCAACACAGATCAGTGTTGAGTCGGTCTGGAGATGTGACTGAGGTATTACCCAAGCCCCCTCTCCTTTAAATAAAATCAAAATTATGATTAAAAGAGAAAAATAGACATAATATCTACCTTTTTCATGTTTTTCCATTCCCGAATATATGGTAAGAATCACAAAGGTAGCGGAAGCAATCGTCGCTACACTGAAGATCAGATACTCCCTACTTACTCCCATTGTACCGCAATGTCAACTAGAAATGGAGAGACAGAAAGAAAGAGAGATAGAGGGGGGCTCATGAAACTTATTATTGTTCTTAAGTGGCCTAAAGTACATCTATGTACTCTAGATCTGTAGTAAGACATTGTATTTCATTTGGCTCTCTTCCCCCCAGGTGTTAAATACAAATGGGAACTGGTAGGAAGGGTAGGCATGCTGTAACCGTGGTGTGGGTGCTATTAATGTTTCCATTCTTCTTCTTCTTCGTCCTCTTCTTCTTACTTGGGAATGTTGTTGTTGTTGTTTTTATTTCCGTATAATAAAAAAATCAGATACAAATACAAATATACGGCTGGTTGCCCATATTCAGATGCAACTATAATTGTTGCTACTGGTCTTCCATGGGGCCAGTGTACAATATACAAAATATACATAATATTACAAATTAACTAAATAAATAATTACAAAGTATCAGTCGAAAACTTAATACAAATACTTAAAGGAAAAAAAAAAAACAAAAAACAAACAAACAAAGAAACAAATAAACAAACAAACAAACAAAACAAACATCATATAAACATACATAAAGAGGTACAACAACAAGGTGATTATAGTCTGCGGCACACCTTTCGTAGTTAATCTTTCATCAGAAAGGACATTATTTACCGAAGTTCTTGTTCTTCTGTTTGATGAATAGTGTTTGAACCACTGTAATTCTTCACCAATTACACCCATAGATTCAAGTTTAGATACAAGGATTAGGTGATCTTATCAAATGCTTTTTGCAAGTCTACAAAAATTGTTCCAATGTAATTACCTTTATCGATAGAGTAAAACCAATCATCTGTGACTGCGGCTAGTGCTGTCACGGTGGAGTGTTGACACTTTAAATAATCCAGCAATTGTCACTGAACGACTCTTTCCATAACTTTAAAGGCGCAAGGCAACAGTGAGATCGGCCTATAATTATTGAAATCAAGTTTATCTCCTTTTTTGTGTATTGGTATTACTTTTGCGACTTTCCATTTGTCAGGCACAACCCCTTCCCATAAAGATTTGTTGATTAAAAACGTAAAAGATTCAAACATTTCAGATATTGACTCTTTAAGAATATACATAGAAATTTCGTCTAACCCGACGGACTTTTTTGTTTTCATTGACATTACTTGTTTCAAGACATAAGATTGAGATACATTTACAAATTTAAATTTTCTGTCAGAAACCTTTTCACCATGGGCATAAAGCCGGTTATTAGCCCTTGTGTTATTTGTGCATACATTTGTCGCTATATCTGCAAAGTGGTTATTAAACTCATTCGCTATTACACTTGAATTTTCTTTGGAAAAGTGCTGTTAGAAGAATTACAATTACCCATTAAACTTTTGAGTGTTGTCCAAGATTCATTTCTATTGGTGACTTCAGACAGTTTATCACATATGTGTTTACGTTTGGATTTTCTTATCTCGGTGGTAACTTTATTTTGCATGCGTTTATACAGTTTCCATAAGTCATCACTGTTTCTCTTCTTGGCTTTCAGTTTTTCTTTATCTCTCTGTTTCATTAAAGTAATTATTTCACTATTCATCCATGGGGAGGGTTTTTTGTCACTCGTCTTGTCTTTAATGGCATATGCTTGTTAACTACTTCCAACAGCAACTTTTCCCATTCCCTAACTGCATCATTTATATCACTAAACTCTTTTACTTTCTTCCAGTTTTGATCACGCAAATCAGACCTGAAAGCTTCTAAATCTACATTTCTCGACTTTCTGAACGATACAAATGTTTCACTTTGGGAAGTATGTTTACATTTCCACACCAAGTAACTGATATAATGGTCACTCATACCATTTTTAATAACACCAAACGATTCCACCTTATCGGGATAATCCGTTAACATATGGTAAACAAGTATGCAGGATCTATCGGTTACTCTTGTATACAATGTATCATTTACCTGTTTCAAACAATATATATAATTTATTTGATTATAGACTTACGTATATCCTTCAAAAGGTTTTTTCGTGATATCACAGTTAATGTCACCCATAATAATGAGTTGCCCATTGAGACCATTTGCAAAAACCAAAAAGTCCTCATAGTGATTAAAGACCTCGACTTTTGAATTTGGTGGTCTATACCAGTTTACAAAAATAATTGGCTTCGTGTTCTTCAAACAAACTTTTATGCACAATGCTTCTAAACGTTCAAGAGAATCATGACTAAGTTGATATGAATAGACTCATGGACATAAATGGCCACTCCACCCCCATTTCTATCCCTATCTTTTCGAAGTAATGAGTAATGGGGTATGTACATTTCACTGTCTGCAATAGAGCTGTCTAATCTAGTCTCATTCAGAGCAAGAACTTGTATTTCATTTTCAAACATGATTTGCTTGATTTCTTCATGATATTTCAAAAGACTTACAATATTCAGGTGGACAAATTTAATCCCTTTACTAGAAAGTTGATCATATTTTAAAGATATGTTCTCACCAGATTTACATGAGGGATCTATGTTATTAGAATCGTCGACGTCGGACTCTGAATTATTCACAATATAATTTGGAAGATGGTTTAAAAGACTTCTTGAACACTCCCAATTTACAAAATGCTCGTTAGGGTCATCGTAACTCTTTACAGAGATTTCTGAACATGATATGTGTACCCAGTTTCGGCAAGAAGTACAGAGAAGTGCTTTCTGATTTGCTTTAACACATTTACTACAGCGAACGCATGGAAATTGTTGTACCATTTCAACAACAAAAAAAAACGAAAACAAAAAACAAAAGTTTTTTAAAAAAGTATACAAAATACACTAAAATACTACTAAACAAAACTTAATTATGTAAGATACGTATATAAGAAGCTTGTACTGTGCACACCACAACATGACGCATGAAGTTTAACCAACATTAAACATAACGCACAATTGATTAAGCACCCGAAGAGGATTAAGGTTTAAAGCTGGGCGTAGAAAAGATAATTATAGTCCAAGAATTGCTCTGCAAGCCTTCATCGAATACAATCACATGCTCCCAATATAACCGTGAGGCAGTGCGAGACAATTATTTAACATATGTGTTCGTACTTGCAGATATGAATGTAGAACATAGAGAGTATATAACATTTAGATCCACAGCGTTTGTATATGATGATATAAAATTGGTTGAGTTTATGATTTCAGTAAGACAGTTGACAGTTAAAAGAATATATCATGAGTTGATTAAAACTAAAATCGAAGAATCTAGAGCAGAGGAATTTTGCCGTAATACTTTGGAAATTGAATATGTACCTGAATTGGTTATTTAAGTTAAAAGGTATAAAAGACAGCTTACTAATTAATTTAAATTTCAAATTCATAATAATAATAATAATAATAATCTTTTAAAGTCCAATCCAAATTTTATTAAGTTAAACTGAAAATGCAGTACCATATAATTTGTTTAAATGGAAGGTAAATGCCACTGAGCAATTTATTATATTGTAATCAAACAGGTGATTTTATGCACATGTTCCTTTATTTGTAACGAAGTCATTAAGTTTTGGAGTGAAGTTTAAAGGGATATAAAGAAATATTTCATGTCTAATTTTAATTTGAAACCATGTCATGTATTGTTTGGTATTGATTTTAATTCAAAGAAGGAAAAAGTGTTGATATTATTGTGAATTATGCACTTTTTACTATATAAAAAAGCTTTGTTGGAAAAGAACTTAAAAAAAAAAGAACAAAAGAGAGACTTCTTCATATTTTGATTTACCTATTAAATTATCGTTTACAGATAGAAGAAAATATTATAAACCCATGTATATCCCTCCAGAAATGGAGGCAAATGCTGAAAATGTGAATATGTTTATATCATTATGAAAAAATAAAAACCTGAAATGGATATTTTACTCCCCAAAAATAAATAAACCCTACATAATAAATTACAGTTAATCATCAACATAACCTATATTTCTGATCTTAGGTGACGACCATGGTTAGGATCTAGGTTGTGTTTGTTGGGTCTTTTGTGTTCTAGCATTAGACGATACCAGGGATTGCTGCACAAATTGACATTTCAATGGACCATGAACACTTTTTGTTCCAGCTTTGTCAATAGATTAAAGGGACTTTGTAACATTGTTCAGATGAAAGATAGCGGTGCTAAGGTAGTGACTTCAATGCTAGATGTACAATTAAAGATAATCTGAAAATTTGAGTGAAAACGAAACATTATTCATGGTACAAATTGGGAAAAACTGATCTGATCGATTCCTTAATTCTCCCAACTATATTATTCTACTTCTATTCTGCTACTTGTCAAAGCCTGTTCAGCATCAAGACAAGGACAATTTAATTACATTTTAGGTGAATGTAAATCGTCACAAAGCAATAAAATGGCTCTACATTCCATTCCAGGACAGTTAAGTGTTGACAGATTTTTATAGCCTGTTTTATGTATTTTTCTCACGGAAAAACGGTTGGGAAAATTCAAAAATGGTTGGGAGAATTTACTGTTAATCACTGTTAGAGGGTGCCTCACATCGACGCCTTCAAAGAAAACTATAGATATATTTGTGGTTTGAGAATTTGTTCAGGATTTTTTTTTGCATGTCAGAGGGTTAGTATAGTAGAAGGAATATAATAAGTAACATTTTATACAAAAATTAAGCAATTTTTTTCATCAACCTTCAACAATTTTACCGAGTCACTTTAACAGCATGTATACGTCAAATGCTAGAGAAGGCATGCTATATCAAACTCCAAAGTAGAACACCACGTAATCAAGTATATTTAACATTATTTTGATCAACCTATATAAAACTTGTCTACACGTTTAAGTGTTTGGAACAGAAGTGTGCACAAATAGTGGCACGATAGTGTACTTACCCAATTCACTGATAAATGATCACATTCACCTTCCAAAACGTATAAATATAACTCTCTTTTCGTTTATCCTTGCTACTTTTAACGCCTTTTGCCCAATATTCAATTGCTTATTGAGGTTTGTACACGTCGCTGCCTTGCTGTTGACTTACAGTTTATAGCGCTTCTATATGCCTTAAAGAATGCAGTGCAAGTTTTTGTGAAATGAGTCTACAGATTCTTGTACGTGGCAATAATCTCTGTCATTTATATCAAATCAGTCAAGTGTGAAATTGTATTTTTAGGGTAAAAATATATATGAATAAATAAATTGAGAGGGAGCTATACAACATAAAGAGTTTATTATTTATAATTTCATAACTTTAGACTCGATTTCAATCGCGACAACGATCAATGAATATTGTAGGAACGCATATGCTTCCAATATGTTAATTTGAACCAAATTCATGATCCCATACCAAAACTTTGTAATACCTTTAATCATGATAAATATGAATGAGAAAAAACTTTTGGTTATGAAGATATGATCATGAGTTGATTTTCCAAAAAAATTACAAAATGGCGCCTAGATGACGTCATCAGTCAAGGTCAATGTTGAAAACGTTATTGTGCTTTGTACATATGCCTATACATATGTGTGCCAAATTTGAAGGCATTTGATTGAGCCATTTTCAAGCCATCGTGCTTACAAAAAAGTGGTTAGAAATAAGAAAGAATAACTAAATTTGTAATACTTGTTTGGAACAAGTATAGGTGGACTGGTCGAACTAAAATTTGAGACAAAATAAAGGGCACATTTGAGATAGCTCATTGTCTCAGCTACAACATACACGAAGTTCAGCGTAAATGAAGCTAAAACGACAGAGATATTGCTCGCGAAAGACGGGAATGTAGAATCCAGTTTTGAGAAAAACTCATGTCCTATAGAGAATACACGTAAAATTTGAAAAATTGACATGCCTCTTTTAATCGCAAAAATCCGCCATAATGCCTTTGTCAAAATGAAAAATAATAGAAACCGCATTTGTAGAAAATTGTCTCAGCTAGAACATATGAAAATTTGGAAGAAAATCGATCAATACTTACAGAGATACAATCAATTTTCCATAAATATGCTGACGTCATAATATGCAAATTGGAATTTTGAGTTCGGAGGCCATTATGAAGACGTCATGCGTTAATTGAGGGTCACATGAGACATGAAATCATATCTCCAATTCATAATCTATCAAAATATGAAAACAAAATTGGGGTCACCTTGCATCCTAAAGAGTTACAATAGATTTTGTATAGGCATGTTTTTTCCCATATATGCTATGTATTACAAGAGCTCGCACGGACGTGTATCTTAAACGGACGCTCACTCCGTTATTAATGGTCGGAAATATGTGAACAAGGTATCAAAAATGCTTGGGAAAATGTGCTAAATATGATGACAAAGAAAAATTGGCGATTCTTTGTTGCAAAATGCCAGAACGCGCGTGTGCGAGATTTTTTTTATAAAATGCTTAAAATGGCCTAAAACGTATGTACAATTATTTTGAGACTATTTTGAGCATTTTAATATTTTGCGCGCGCACTGACGCGTGGACGTACGCGCACGCGCGCGTTTTTTGACCTGAAATTGACCGGACGAATATTGACCTCAATCATGAAAAATATGAATAAAAAATGGCTTTGGTTATGAAGATATGATCATGAGTTGATTTTCAGAAAAATTTACAAAATGGCGCCTAGATGACGTCATCAGTAAAGGTCATAGTTGAAAACGTTATTGTGTTTTGTACATATGCCTATACATATATGTGTGCCAAATTTGAAGGCATTTGATTGAGCCATTTTCAAGTAATCGTGCTTACAAAAAAGTGGTTTGAAATAAGTAAAATAAATAATAAAGGCAATTCTAACGAAATTATAAGTGGTCTGTACGATATACAGCCCACCTGATAATAAAGGCAATTATAACAAAATTATAAGGTGGTCTGTATTAGATACAGCCCACCTACTAATAAAGACAATTTTAACAAAATTATAAGGAGGTCTGTATTAGATACAGCCCACCTGATAAATAAATAAAGGCAATTCTAACAAAATTATAAGGTGGTCTGTACGATATACAGCCCACCTGATAAATAAATAAAGGTAATTCTAACGAAATTATATGATGGTCTGTACGATATACATCCCACCTGATGAATAAATAAATAATAAAGGCAATTCTAACGAAATTATAAGGTGGTCTGTGCGATATACAGCCCACCTAACAATAAAGAATAATAAAGGCGATTTTAACAAAATTATAAGGTGGTCTGTATAAGATACAGCCCACCTGATAATAAAGGCAAATCTAACTAAATTATAAGGTGGTCTGTACGATCTACAGCCCACCTGATAATAAATAAATAAATAAACAAAGGCAATAACGAAATTATAAGGTGGTCTTTACGATATACAGCCCACCTGATAATTACAAAAATAACATTAGTAACACCACCAACCATAATAATAATTGTTGTCATTATTATTGTGATACTGCTTCTAATACTACTCCTACTACATGTACTAGGAAGAGGGAGAATCTTATTGTTTATTTTCTGTACTATCGAGGCATACAAATGCACAGGGAGTTAAAAGAGGGAAAAGTAAGGCGACGAAGAGGGAGAGAGAGGGAGAGAGAACGAGAGGGGATAGCCTATGGCCCGGGTTTAAATTCAGTTCTCTTTAATTTATTTGACCCAGTACTGATGATCATAATTGTATCTACCATGTGATTGCCATGTGTACGTCACACCGAATAGCACTAGCTCACGTTTTGTTATTGTTGTCAAGAACTTATTGGCATGCAGCCAGTAGATTTTCATCATGTGTTTGATCTTGTATTGAAAAAAAGATCAAACACATCATCATAATCTACAGAGTGCAACCAAAAAATTCTTAACAACAATTGAAATTTCTTTCAGGAAGCCTAACACTAAAAGCTGTTTTTGATTCAAAGAGCATCGTAGAGACGATGAATAAATAAGAATAATAATACATTCACTTCTATTTTCCCCGCAAAAAAATCCGAACAAAAGAATCAACAGAGGGTAATCAATTGTTAAACGAATTTATCATGAGTCATTGAAAAATTAATTAATACTGCTTGTCAAATATTATTGAAGAACAGCAAAGGCGAACGCAATTGTCGCTACAATTCAGAAATCATTGTTTGCATTGCTTTTCTCTCAAAATTACCGTGAGATATCAAGCTACATAGAACTATGATCGACACAAAAGATATTGTCTTGAAAACAGTCAGAAACATTAGAACTTGAATGAATAAAACATAACGCAAATGAATAAGACTAGAATGAATAGGACACAAGTTAATTTCTACCTTTTAAATCATCCAGTACCAAATACCTGAGCAAAACTCGAACCAGATGCATTTAATGGTAAACTTAAAGACAATGATTCATGACAATTGTCAATTGTCATGAGTTTATCGTCTAGACGTTTTGCAAAAGATAATCAGAATAATAATGATCAGAATGATACCTCTACTATAAGGCCTAACTCTACATGTACTATACTACACTACTGCCATTGTAGATTATGCTGATAATACAGATGATAATAATGATATAATAATAATTATAACTAGACTTTAATTCGTCACTTTGACGAATTAAGTGATACGTATGCTCATGATTTACATAATGAAGAATGCATTTTCACGATGTCATATTGTTATATAAAATGCTTCTCCCATTATGATCTATCCATATGTCAAGTTTCTACTGTTTAGCCTTGATCATTATGGATGTATGGAAGATATATTGAAACAATTTGACCATTGACCCTAATTAACATAATGAGGCCTACACATACATATTACATATTCCGTGGTAAGAATGAAGTAAGCGAGGGAAAATGAAGGCAATGACAAACGAGTGAGAGAGAGAGAGAATATGGCCGGGTTCAAATTTAGTGTTCTTTAAATTATTAGACCCAGTACTGAGGATCTTTTTATCTGCCATGTTTTTGTTATTTGATGGCTTTTGAAGCTATATGGAAATTCCGTCTTTTGTCACCAAATATTGTTCAAATAGCATTGTAGAGACGATGAACAACTATTAACGCAAAGTCGTAAGCCATGAGAATGTCAATTTCTATCTCGTTCTGCTAAATAACCCGAACAATAGAATCAACCAAGTGGAATCAACTGTTAAATTTGTTACTGCACGTCATAATAGTATTAAAGAGCAGCAAAGGCGAACGATTGTCGCAAAAAATCAGAAATTGTTGCTTAGATTGCTTAAATTACCATGAGACATCAAGCTTCATAGAACTATGATCGACACACATGATATTGTTTTGAAAACAGTCTGAAAAATTGGAGGTAGAATGAATAAGAGATAATGTGGTCATGTTTCTTCTTATTTGTCTGATATATTTAAATATTTCATTTCATGTTTTCTCTTTCTTTCGACGTTCTTTATTTTTGTTGAAACATCTCTCCCACTCCCATTCATATCTTCATATTTTTCATTATAAATGCCTCAGGGGTTATTTTTTAAATGGTTTGTTTTGATCAATCGTGATTGAGAAGGTGATCTTTCTTTCTTTTCATTTAACATCTTTTTTTTAATTCATCATTTTATTTTGTTTCCATCATGTCTATTAAACCTGAACTATACCTCTGTCCAAGATCTGTTTATATATAGCATGTGCTTAGAAGAGAAGTCACAAATTGTGCACCTTCTCTGGGGACAGTTACCTGTGTAATGTAACGAATACGCATGCCATTCCTCCAAGTAAATTTTGAATAAAATTATTCAAACAGAAGTATATTAAGTGACAAATTAACATCAAATGAAAAGCAATGCACAAATGTTACATATGTATGCCTAATCACGGAATTGAATGCACGAAGACATACCACTGTCTGTCCGGCGCGAATTTGAATGCTCTTTGCACGCTTTTCTAAATTAAATGCTCGTTTTGCACGTCTCCGTGACAAGAGTATGAAATCGCATGGTACTAAATCAAATTGAATGACGCAATTAGCTTTTTGAATGTTGATCTACATAATCATTCAATTTCGCACGAAGTTGAATGAACGTAACGTTAATTCGGATGCTAAGTTTACGAAGTTGGGCGGGAAAACCTATATTAACTGTCATGATGATTGGCACAGCAGGTTCTGCCATTCATTCGTATTTTTATATTGCA